GACATCGATTACAAAAAGAAAGGATGCAGCACTTCTTAGGATAGAAATCAAAGATTACAATCTCCAAACTCACAAACCAAAAAAAGTTCTAAAAAAAAAATTGATAAATAATCTCATGGTAGAAAGAAACCCAAATTAGAAATAATAATAGGAATAATATTCAAAAAAAGAAAACAAAATCGTGCAGAAGTGGAAGCTGGATGGAATCGCGCTTGGTTCTGCACTCCCACAATCACAACTCCACTAATTTAACAACATCACGGTGTCGAGTCGTGGGATTCTGCAATTTCACAACATTATGTGATTTTACAAGATTCTACGATCCAGGAATTGTGAAAGCCCAAATCGGGAGCTCCTCCCACTCATTCTCCCCGGCTACGAGAGACTTCTTCTTGTAAGCTTTTGGAATTGATTTAACACAATAACAAAGTCAATGAGTGGTTGTGGTTGGGGAATCTATGCTCACATCTATCTAAGACAACTCTAAAACATATATGTCATTCCAAAGTTTGTCCTAACAGAATAAATAGTTATCATTCTTTTGCACAATTAGAGTTGAAGCTGCATTTGAATAGGTATTCTCACAAACCAAGCCTCAAGCCATTAATATAAAACATGTTTCTCTCACTTCTAGTACTCAACTGAGCGCATCTAATAACCAAGTCTGTAAGAACCCATGAGATAAACTGTCAGTCAGGAAATCCGGCAACTGCTTCAACAAGAGCTTCATCTTCTCGGTATTGGCTCCTTGAACTAATTATCTTCTAGAGCAACCAATGTTAATTTTGTTAAAGTCTCTCTCATGGGCTCAACTTGAATCACTAGCATCTCTCCCTTATCAGCTGAAAGCTCATAGTCCTTTCCATCCTCACCTTCTTCAATGTCTCTTGTTTCCTTGTCTATTTTTCAACTGTTCCTTGCTTAGTAAAGGAGAACACGCTCCTATTTGAGCAACCAGATACAATATACCCAAAGTCGTGGTACTTGAAGCACCTCTTTACTAGGATGAATTTAAGAGTACTGGAGGTTTCAACATTTTCTCCAGTCTAAACAGATTTTTCCTCAGGCGGGGTTGACTAAGATGCATCTTTGGGTGTACTCTTCCAATCTGATTATGGGCAAGAACTATGTCTGTAAGGTATGGTTTCCACCCGGTGAAGTTGTTCCGACACCAACAAAGCTAAGGTATGTATGTCGAATAGAGAACACTACAACTACAATTGCACCACATTCCTAATAGACGGCTTCGGTTCTCCAAGATACCTTGCTATTATGTGCTCCTCTAGTTCAACTTATATTTCAACACAAGTTGATCAAATTTAACTCTGAACTCCTCCATAGAAGAATCTCTCAAGCATAAGTGATAATAGTTTAATGAACATATCATGTTGGTAATGTAGGGCAAGAAACTTAAGATTTGTCAGACTTTAATACTACATGATATCATTCCAGAATTCCTATAAGGTGTTTGGGAAACGGGTGTTGTAAGAAGGTGGTTTTGGAATGGCAAGGAAAAATAATAGGTGTGTTTGATAACTGGATGAGAATAGGAGTCGTTTGACGGTTGCCCTGGCAGAAAAAGCAAATGAAACTCCAAATCGGTGAAATTCGAACGGAGGGGAAGTTTCACCATCTGTTTCTAGGCAAGGTACGATCACACCACTTGCAAAACGAAAAGATGCAACACTTCTTAAGGTAAAAATAAGAGATAAAAATTTTCAAACTCACAAACAAAATAAAAAGACTTCTCAAAAACAGAAAATAAAACATATAAATAGTCTCATGCCTAAAAAAAAAACCAACTTAGATTAAAGAACTATGAATAAAATTCAAAAGGAAAATAGATCGTGCAATAGTAGAATATGGATGGAATCGTGCTCGGTTTTGTACTCCCACGATCGCAACTCCCCTAATTTAGTGGCATTGTGATGCTAGGCCACAGGATTCCGCGATTCCCAGGATTTTGCGATCTGGGAATCACAAAATCCAAATATCGGAAGCTCCCACGTCGCAACTGGAAACCAACAAATCCAAATATTAAAGATAAGTTACATCAGGAATAGAGAGGAAAGTTCTTTGATATTGTTTAGCATTCAAGGATTACAAGTTGCGGCTTAACAACGAATATAACGTAATAAGCTACAATCCCATCACCACCCTTCGCTCATATCCACCTAACAACCCAAACACGCACCCAAAACATCCGCCCCAACCCCATAACACCCAAAATAAAAAATTAAAAGAACAAGCATCTTCTCGTCCAACATGAACAACCCATATGTAATACCCAAATTTTAAAAAATCAGGTAAAGTTCAGCAAAATTTATAAGTGCCCTAAAATTTACATCTCTCGGAATTAGATCAAAATAATTTTATTAAATTCGACACCTGAAATTGATCAATACTATATAAAGCACCATGTATGAATTGTTAACGAATTGGGAGATATGAAATTTAGAGGTTATAAGTTTAATTAAATTATTTTATCTTAATTATAATTTTAATTTTTCACTAATCTCCCGCATGTGCATTGTGGTCCCCGACCTCGCGCCTTTTTGATCCATTAGTTCAATTAAATAGGTCATCGAGCTTCGATTTTTGTTTCCTCCTGAAACCGTCCTCTCTCTCTCTCTCTCTCTCTCTCTCTCTCTCTCTCTCTCTCTCTCTCTATCCCTCTCCTTATGCAAAGGAGGCTCGCTCCGCCCCCTGTAGCAAGGTTACAAACCTTGTTACAATGTAGGGGTGCGAACAGATGAACCGAGCGGAACATAGAGTTGTCGCAGCTCATGATTCAAAGCTCCGGGGCAATTTTGTAAGTTTGAATCCCTCTTTCACGATAATTGAGAGTTTCATTTCCTTCCTCACTTCCAAATTGAAGTTTGTCTTATTTTTCGCACTTTTCACATTGCCGTCAGCCGTCGGAGGCGCTGAAATGTATCAGCGTCGAAAGCAAATTAAAAGCTTTTATATGAGTTTTAGCACGAAACTAGCGAGGGGAAAGTGAAGATTTGGGTGTTAGAAGAGTTGGGAAAGAATTTGGTGTTTTGGGGAAATCAAATTTATGCCAAGAAGCCCTTTAAGGTAAGTTTTGGCATTTAATGCAATTTTTTGGGTTAATTCATGATTTGAGCAAAATTTTATGAAATCCTATGTTGTTTAAGGGCTCCAGGTTGGTTGTACAAAGCGATGAGCTTTAAACGAGCATGTGGGCACTAGTCAAGTAAGGTAAAATAATCTTGTGTTAATTTAAGAAAAATAATCTTCTATAAACTTTTATATGATTTCTATGTTGACACAAATGCATTTAAAATTTTCTGCATATTGTGAATGAATACATGCAATTGAATGTATGAATGCATTTTTGTTTTTCTGATGATACATGTAATGCTATGAACAAACTATGCTACAAATGATGATGTTTAAAATATGAATTTCCTGCAGGTATTCATTTATTATGTTTCATACCATGATACAAGTAATGTCTTATAAATGCTTGATATAACAATGATGATTTAAATGTCACGACTAATGTTATAGGTAGACTATTACATGAGTGTTTGATAGTACACTACGTAGGGATGTAGTATTCCCGACCCCTAATATTTATACTGGGACAAAACTCCTCTAATCGTTGTGAATAGGCGGTGACATAATGGTAGGAAACCATGAGTATCACGGGGTTGTCGATAACTACTATGTCGGGGGAAACCCAATATTTATCAATAGTTTATATGACATTTGAGGCGGGGTAACGACCCATGATGAAAAAACATGAAAATAATTGAATCATATATATATATAACTAGTGACATTATTATGAAATGACCTCTTTGAAAAGATACTGCTACGATTACATATAATAAGCAGTTATGAACATGCTTTTGCTTATGATTTCAAGCTTACGACCTACATGTTTAAACTACAGTCTTGATTTTTATACTATATGTTTTTTATTTCATGTTCTCGACTATTTCTGCAAGTTATGATTTGTGTGTAAACATGTATAATTTTCTACGAGCATGCACGTTTTTTTTCCATATATAAAATCTTATGTTAGTCCTGATTATTTCTTCAAGCTCGTTGTTGCTCATTATTCAGTGTTGTCTTCCAGGTAGTGACAACGAGCACTGGGACGAGCAACCAAGTGTGTCTTTATACATCTTTTACACGATAGTTTTGGGAGTTTGTACATATGCCTTGGGTATGTATTTTTTTATTATATTGAATTTAGCAACTCTGTATAATTTTCATATTTTGGATTATATGATTTTCATGTTTCCTAATATGTATATGAATGAATTATGAAATGCAATGTACCACGTTATTACGACGATCAAGAATGACTAATTCATCACCCATTGTGTCCTGATTATATACGTTATTACGACGATCAAGAATGACTAATTCATCATCCATTGTGTCCTGATTATATAAGTCAGGACGAGTACTGGTGAGAGTTGGTCTGACCAAATTGCAAGTCTCTGTCACACTGCGATTGACCCTACCAAGGGGGCTAGTTGGGATGTGACACCATATGACAACCAAATGGGCAAAAATTATACTCCATTGCAGTCCACTTCAAAACCAACCTATGCCAAGAACAACTACCATATATCAGCAATAACATTTGTGAAAATGATGGCGAAGTGCATTATTATTTCATTGAAGAATATGTCAGCATATAACAAGTTATAAGACCAATAGAAGTGTGAATTTTATTCCATGATAAGCAGTCCACTCTAAATGACAACTCAAAGTTCATTGAATCAGATAAGCTATGAGTCACGACAGAAAAGTTAATTGATATATTTTCCATACAGAAACTGTTTGTATACACAGCCCAGAAGTTTAATATAATAAAAAATCACCCAAAAATAACTAGAAAAGTCAAGTTTTATAATGCAACAAAGAGATATTATCTTAAAGGAAAAGAGGGGATCGGAAAATAGAAAAAAGCCAAACTATTTATACAATGTTTGGCATATACAGCTTTCACTTACAAGATCAAAGATTGAAAAGGTATTATCATAAAAAAGAACAGCGATGCGTCCTCTGCTACGATCTCCAGGAACAACAGGGGAGAATTTTATCCTTCTAATTCCATCTCTGTGAGTATTGAAGGAAGATGAAAGACCAGTTGTCACATCCCACCAGCGTATGCTGCCTAATCTATCTCCCATCACCTAAAGAAAACGAACCAAGGATTTTAACAAACCTGATATATTGCTAATTTCAAATGAAAACAGACCAAGTCGAATTTACTTACCACATGTGGAAGGCGATATGCCATTGCAGTCACTAGCCCATCGGAAGAAACAAATGAAGATGAAGGCCATTTTGGTCTACTCAAAAAATGAAAATAAGCTTATGTCATATAGAAAAAATTGTAGAATTAAATAGAACTTGATATCAAACTTGTAAAGAAACAAGCTACCCTAAAAAAAGAAAAACAAGGATGTAAAATTAAAGGTCATTGCACAAGTAAACTACAGTAAGATGTCATATCTATACAGTGAACCAGATGCAGAAATGCACCACTAAACCCTGGTTGTTTAACTTTGTTTAATTTTTGTTTTATTCATTTTGAGAGAACAGCATAGAGTATAAGCTATGCATGTACGTTTATGATAAGCAATTAAAAAATGACTCATTATGCTAGGACAAGATGGTGTAACTTGAAAGGTGATAAATTATTGCCATTTCAAAATAGGTTATGTTAACCCCAAAAAAAAGTCAAACAACCGGTAATCTTAGACTTGCTTGGGCCCATCGAATTGAATTAGTGCAATCACACAGCCATAGATCAATGGGGCGTTCAATTGAATTAAATGCATGCGTTAATGACATGAAAGCTTGAAATGCAATTCCATGTTGTTCCATAGAATTTGAACAAAATTTAATATTGCATTAACCAAAATTATAAAAAATATAGAGAGCATCCTAGACCATCACAATCTAACTGAAAAAGTAGATTAGCAACAAAGTTTCACATCGGTTATATCTCATAAACCAACCTGATTGAACGTGAAGACAACAACAAAGGGTGATGCAAAAAATCAATTTACAATGGCTCGATCACGTTTAAAATCACAAAATCATTACCCATTGAGCAAAATCAATAACAAAATGAATTAGGTTGATGCATTCAAAACCACACTTGATTCGTGTTAAGGATTAGAAATGTATAAAATATAGTTGTTTTTATTGTGCAAATTTTATGATATTTTGTGCTTTGATGGTGTTTATTTTATGTTTTTTTTGCAGAAAATTAGTATGACCACAAATTGGAAAGGACATTGGAAAAATATGATAATGGTTACTGTAACCGCACCAAGGCACCACTGTAACAACGTATAGGCACTCCTGCTACAATGCCTAGGCACTCGAAGCAGGCACTCGACCCAGAAAAAAAGTCCAGAGAACCAAAGCCCTTGATACTTCAGTGCCACTTTTTGGGCGCCCCAAAGCCCGATTCAGCTCCCCAATGCTATGAACTGACATTGCTTAGTTCTCGCAATTTTGATGATGATTTCGGCCAAAATTTTATAAGGTTGTTGTTGTACACATGAGAGAGAATTTTGGAGACTTCTAAGGCATGTGTGAGTGAAATAGTATGTTTGTGAGTGTGGGAGTGTGTAAATGATCAATTGGAAGGATTTTTGCAATGGATTGAGAAAATTTCAAATGAAGAGCAAACCGGATGTTTTCTTTAACCTTTTCTTTTATTCTAGTTTTAGGGTTTTCATGTATTTTCATTATTATTATATAAACATGGTCTGGAACTAAGACCCAACTTTTTTGTGTAGTGTTTGTGTGGAATATTTGGACTATCTGAGGTTCTATTATCAATTGAGTATATGATGTTGATGTTTTGACTTATTGTGATTTATTTAAAATTAATATGGCCAATTGATATATTCAAACTTTTTATGATCTCTCTGTTTTGGAAGAGAACAAAATTGAACAAAATTAACAAACAGTTTTTTGGGAGGGATAACGCAATTAATTGAGAACTATGAAATTCTAGAGATTTTTGTATGATTTAGACAACTAAATTGTGATATGAAACCCAAATAATTTTTATTTTTAAGGAAGAGACTAAGGAGTAGTTTTGCTTTCATTTGTCAACTTTAATAGAAATACTTAGATTAGATTATAAATAAATAAAACACTACTCAAGGGAAATTTTTATCCAAAACTTAAAGAAACAAGAACACTTTCATTGTTGCAGACATAAAATTTTCAATCACACTTTTGAACTTTTATTAATTGAATAAAACGAGTAGACTCTTAGGATAACACTTTGTTTAATTTAAAAAGTAAGCTAATTCTCTGTGGGATCGATATTTGGACTCAATATTCATGGGTGAAGCTGTGTGTATTCGTATCACTTATCAAGTTTTTGACGTCGTTGCTAGGAAACGACGTTAATTTCTTATTTTAGGACAATATTATCTTAAAATTTTAAGCTTTAGTTCAATTATGTTTAAGCCTAATATTGTTATATTGTATTCTTATTATTTTGTTGTGTAGTGACTTTTTAATTCCTATAATTTTTTAATTTATTTAACTTAGCGCCATAAAACTGCCTTGCGAAAGCAGCACGCTACGTCATTTTTACTGTTGAATTATTCTGTGATTTTAATTACCATTGCGTGTTCAATGATTATTATAACTATTATTTGTTTTGTGATTGTTAGTTTAGGATCACTAGTTAGTTTAAATGTTTCAGGCATAGGATTAAATCTGTTCAACTTATATTGTTTGACTCTGAAATAGAAAAAACTTTAAAAAATTTACAAAACTAAAAAAGACCCAAAAAATACTAAGAGAAATGACACCCAAAAAAATAAAATTACTAACTTAGACCATTTAAGGACTTTATCAACCCTATGATAGATGAAATACAATAGAGTATCAATAACCCCATCATTCAAGTCAAAACCTTTAAACTCAAACCCGCAATGATTCAAAATAATTAGTTTGAGAGTTTACATATAAGAGACCCGAATTTATAAAGTCAACATTTAAGAGATATTTTCCACCTTCGTGTCTCTAACAATGTTGTTAGGCTTAAGTTATTCCATTTTTTTCCCCATAGAGATAAGGCTAAGGCAAAGGTGTGGCTAAACTCTTTATTATCAAGGTCTATCATAACTCGGAACGAACTTTTACAGAAATTCCTAACCAAATATTTTCCTCTATCTAAAAAAACCAAGCTAAAGAATGGAACCACTTTCTTCAGCCATATGAACAATGCGTAAATATACAGCTTAAGAGAGATTTAAAGATCTGTTTAAGAAATACCCACACCATGTTCTACTAGATTAGATGATCATACAAATATTTAATAAATGGTCGGTGCGATCATTAAGGACTATAATAGATGATGCAGCAGAGGGGCCTTTAAGGTCAAAATCATTTGAGGAGGATATACAATTATTGAAGAGATAACAAAAAATAATTTTTAATGGCCAACTGAAAGTGTTCACACTAGATAAATGAATAGTATACATGAACAGAATGTACTATCTATTCAAACTTCACGGGTGGTTGTCATATCTAAGAAAATAGATAACTTAGAGTTCAATTTAATGTAACGATCATCATTGGTTGCTGAAAATGTATATGTGCAACTAAGAGATCCTAGTATAGCCTCTGTGAAGTCAATGAATGCAATCAAAAATATACCCAACAACCCATATTCTAATACCTACAATCCCGGTTTAAAAAATCACCGTGACTTTAATTTGAATGACAACCAAAACGGAATTCGGTGTGTTAGCAACCAACAACACCCTAGGCAACTGAAACAAAAAGGGCAATAACTTCTCGAACCCCAACCCCAATTATCCTCTTGGATTCACTTCAATACTCAATTTAAAGAAAACGAATTTGGAAATAATTAGTGTTGCAAATGAAAAATTAGATAAAGTCAAGCTGCAGTCATTAAAAATATTGAAATATGATTAGGGCAGTTAACTAACTTATTGAGTAATAGACCCCAAGCGATGCTACCAAGCAACACTAAGGCAATCTTAATAACGAAGGTGTAGAGCAGTGCAAAACCATTAAACTTAAGAGTGGAAAGGAGTTACAAAAGCTTACCACAGAAAAAATTAGATTAGAAGAGCCTAAGAAACTAATTGAGAAGCCTACACCAGAAAGAAGACCCCACCTGTTAGTAAATTTGTCAAAAGACCCCCACCTGATATTTCTCGGAGTTTAATAAAATAAAATTAGATCAACAATTCTCTAAATTTTAGAAGGGTTTATGAAACTTATGAACAAATGCTTATTTAAAAGTAATTTATGAAAGAATTTAAAAAAATACGTATAAATTCTCAAATTTTGAAATTGTGGTATTAATCGAAGAGTGTGACTCTATAATTCAAAAGAAACTCTTACAAAAATTAAAAATATCTGAATAATTTTAACATAACATGCACCATAAAAAACAACTTTATGAGAAAAATACTATGTAACTTGGGAGTTAGCATACATTTCATATTATTTTCGATATTTGAGAGACTAAAATTAGGAGAGATTCAGTCTACTATATCTTCAATTAGCAGATGGACTAATGACTTATCGTAAAGAATAATTAAAGATGTTTTAGTTAGAGTTGATAAATTCATCTTCCTAGTAATTTAATTATTTCGGCTAAAGAGAAATATGTTGAAATCTCAATTATTTTAGGAAGGTCGTTTCTTACGACTGGCAACACGAATATTGATTTACAGAAAGGAGATGATTATTAAAGCAAAAGATTAAAAATTTACTTGAGCCCAAGATAAAGAATTTATCTTTCAAATGTATAATCCAATTTTATCTCCCATATATCCCCCTCGAAAAATGTCGCAGAGTGAAAATAGAAAAAATTGCAAGACAAATTGAAGAATAAATTGGATTATGAGGAATTAATTATATTAAAAATAAATAAATTGGAATCACAAATGAATGATGTAAGTAGGGGTGTAAACGAGCCAAACAAAAGCGAGCTCAGGGGGGTGTAAGCAAGCTGAACACGAGTTATATTTTGAGCTCAAAAAGTGTGTTCGTGTTCGACTCATTTTCTTAACGAGCTGAACATGAGTCGTTCATGAACAAAAAACCGTTTTGACAACCTTAATCACACTGAGGATTTGAGCAAGATTTAAAAATTATTATTTATATTAAAAACATTATTTGAGTCTAATTTAATAATTTTTATTTTGTTTCCTTAATTAATACTATTAATTGATTATAAAACTTTGTAGCCTTATTGTCAATTAATTTTTTTTAAAAATACTACTCTATATATATATATATTTGATAAGTAGTATTTCGAGGCAAAACGAGCCAAACACGAATGAACAAATCTTTGTTTGTGTTCAACTTGTTAACTTAGCGAACAAGTCGAACACGAGCTTCTTAACGAGCCGAACATGAGCTATTCGCGAACAACAAGATGTTTTGATAGCCTTAGATGTAAGAAAGTCTCCAGGGCATCAAAAATATTGGGAGATTGTGAGGGACTATTAAAAAGGTAATTTGATTTTGAAAAAAAAAATCTTAGGCTTGATTAGACTCTGTCAGGTTGAGGCATAAAATTAAACACTACTTGAGAGACAACTCAAGAGTTATCTTGTGTTGTGATTGTCAATTTATTTTATTTTATATTATATGCATATTATATTATGCTTTGGTCAAGCAAGAGACGTAAAACTAAGCACTCATTTGAAAGTGTGAAGCATTCAAATAAATATAACTCATAAGATTGAAGAACAAATGAATCAAAATAAAATCCTACAACTCCATTAATCAAATAACAATAACTACTCATGCAATTGGTTTTAGAAGATGCCAAAAATGTAATTATAACTTAGAAGAGTACTCACCTCGAGCTCAAAAAATTCATTTTTTTTATGTTTTATCACATCTTCAAAAATACCTACACTTATGAATGTAACATTTTCTTGTAATTATCATTACTATTATTTTTAAATATAATTTAATTTCACTATTTAATAACATTCTTGCTCCTAATTTATTTAATTATTTAAATAATTTATTGTTATATTCTTAATTTATAATAATTGAAAATTTTAAATTTTTAGGGCATTAATAGTGAATATTATAATTTGTTTCTTGTTATTTAAAATTTTTATTAACCTTCGCTTAAATATGAAAATATATATCAATATATATATATATACTTATAATTTATTTTACTCGTATTTCCAATTTTTATTTATATAGTTATTCTTTTAACTAATTAGCTATATTCTAATTCAATATTCTAATTAAATCCTACATTTCTTAATTTCATATTTATAAGTGAAATAACATATCATAATTTAATTTATAGTTTTTTAATTCCCTTCATTAACTATAATAAATATTTCTTATCTACTTTGTTAAGTATATTAAGTTACCATTAGATAATCTATTGCTCCGCCTAAAATTATTTTTTGATAATTATCACAATCAAAATTAAATAGCTTATACACACACACACATGAAGATTAACTTTAATAATCTAATCCTAACAGCTATCATAAATTTTTAGTTTAAAATTTATTTTATTAAACTTCTTTTAAATTACTAATAACAATATTAATCAGGAAAATTTTTAATTATCATTAATTAAATTTTAAATTTTTCTTAAATAATATCTTATTTTAGATGGCAACATTTCATAAAAAAAGTCATTAATAAAACAAAGTAACCAAACCTTATTAGTATGCTCAACCCAAGCTCGATGCATGGGAGTCCTCTACCCCAAACCCCCTAACTTTGTTTGCTCTGCTCCGGAACCCACATGAGACTCTGTCTCGTCAGCTAAGCTGCAAGTCTAACACATTTGTTGGCCTCTCCTTTCTCCAATGCACTCTCTACGCAATGCTAAGGTACGATCGATGTGCAAGCTTGCTACGTCATCTTCCTCATGCTCCAATCTAAGCGATCTCACGTGTTGCCTACTACCGTTCAATTCAAACACTGCTTTTACGATCAATGTTTAACATCACAAAATTGGGTATTGAGGTTTTGTTTTATCTTGAGAAAAGGCATAAACCACAAAACATTTTGAGGCGTAAGCCTCAAAACTAAAAAATAACGTAAGCTAATAATTATTGTATAAAACATAAAGTGTGAAATAAGAAATAATATATTAAGATTCTAATTTATTAATACATTAAAAAATAACATAACAACATTCTAGATAAAAAAATAAAAAAATGCTTAAAATTAGAAATAACGCAATAATATCCTAATATCAAATTATGAAATAAGACGGTTCATACAAACATTAAACTATCTAAACAAGCTAATATATTTAAAGACAGTACTATAACAACAAAGCATAAAAAATCAATATTAATCTGTCTTCCTTACATATGCTACCCCCAATTAAAGAAGAATATAACAAGTGATCAACATTTAAATTTTTAATTTTGAAGTCAAATTACTCTAATCATTAAATTGTTTTTTCGTTAGAATCATTGACAAAATGAATTGATTTATCTCGTGTCTGATCTTTAATCGTATTTATACTCTAATTCCTTATTATATTAATCCAAATTATTTTATATTTTTTAATGAAGAATCATCAATAGAAATATTAATTAACATAATAACTATATTGATAATGAAAATTTCAACAACATAAACTTCTGTGCATACATTTTCTTTTTTTTTCAGATTATTTAGTGTGCGAAGTGTGAATGCTAATAGATAAGGTGTATTAGTAATACTTTTATTTTTTTCTAAAAAAATAATAAATAGTCTAAAAAATTGTGTTTTATGAGCATAGGAGTACAATTTATATGCTAAGACGGGCCTCAAATTGTGCAATTTTAAAAAAAGCTTACGATCGCACGTAGCTCGCCCTCTGTCTCCTCTGTCATCATCTGCAAACACACACATCGATCACGCGAGCTATCGCTCGCTCGTCATTGCTCAGCTAGCTTCGTCGCCTTAGTATGCCTTGATAGTCGGCATTCAAGAACCTCAGGAACGTACGAACTCGTGGCCATAGTCGTTGTTGCTCTCGATTCTTCCCAAGACCTCCTCATTATCTTTGCCACCCTCCCTCCTCCCTCTCCTGTCTTCTCTCAAAGCTCAATTCACCTCCTATAAGTGTAATCTTGGCGTTATAGAAAAAACATAAAAGCAAAACCCAATCATTACATAAGATTATGGAGGATCATAGGGTTGGGTTTAAGGTTAGGGAGTTTTATTGGGTAAATGAATGAGACTATCTGAATTTAAATTTGGGATTAGGGAAAATAAATTATTAAAGAACTAAGGTTTGTTGGACTCTGACATAAATTCACATCGGTCCAAGATTACAAGACAATGTTTGAATGTCAAGAAAGGGTAGAAGCTAGGATAAGAAACATGGGAAGATGATAGCTGCGGTAGAGAATCAGTGAAAACTGCAGTTGGACAGAAAGACAGAAGCCGGAAATATAGACCAGTAGCAATTCGGGCGACATAGGAGGTTCTCGGACAACCGGGAAAATTCACAACAAACTTCCGATCAGGTTATTGGCAAACCACCAAGAGAGATTGAATGATACAACACTCAAAAATTAAAAAAATCAGTCTCTAATGCATAAACCTAATCAATGAGTGTCCTAAACAGAAGTTCACAACATATTTAAATGCCCAAAAGTTAAAGAAACCATAATTAAAAGCTTAAATAGTTAAAATTGGGATCCTAAATGAGGCGACGAACCCCATGGAGGCTAGAAAAGTGAACTTGGTCTGCCTGGGAGGCAAAAAACATCTTCACTCATCTAGGTGACCAATACGGCTAATATTAACTTGTATAAAACCAAAAGTGTAGAGAGAGAGAGTGAGAAGAGGGGGCTTACTTAAAATCCCGTATCCTCCTTCCATGTACTTCAAATACTCCAAGTGCACCATTGACTAATGCAAAAGCAAAACTCTCAGATAGGTCATCACCACTACTATCGGTGCTTGCAATCTCTAACAACAATAAAATCCTTCTATCAGCAAGCAAGTATTAAATTCGCAAGCAGGCTTGCAGAAGGCAATGTAAATACTGAAATTAAAATGATATAGTACAAGAAAATAAGTAATTATATTCAGTACTCACTTGATTCGCTAAAAGATGCATTAGTAGTTGAAGTTACAGCAGGTGGCTTGAATGGAAATGAAGAGTTTGTAGAAGGTGGACGAGTTACAGTGGGCAGAGTCCACTCCATTACGGTAAACGGAAGGGCTAACGATCTAATCTACAAGATTAAAAGTTTTTAATGTGAGAAGCATGGAACAGCAAAAAACAATACTGTTTTTGCCACATATTTACAGATAAAAGTACTGCTCTATTGCTTAAACCTCTACAGAAAGAGAAATAGGAATTCAACAATTTTGGTGGCATTACAGCGTGGAACATGAATACTCACAAAAATTTGACTTTGAAAAATGGTTAACAATATTCTGCTCGATTTCAGTACAAATCAATTTTTAAGTTATTAACGTATGCCTATAGAGCACCTTTCAGTACAAATCAATTTTTAAGTTATTATGTGTCATGTATCTAGTTTGTTGGCATGGTTCAATATTGCTTACAGTCGTGAATTTTAAATAATAGCGGGTTAAACTTAGTTAAATTTGATAAATGAAAAACGTAATCATTTGATCAATTGCTTCAACTTAATCAACATTATTGAATCATACTTTGGTCAAAAGAAAGAAAATATATATTTTATGAATGTAAGCAGTTGAACAATTTTTCATGCTACTTAGAGCTTGATTTATATAGCCATTTAAAAACTAAAAGAAAAATAAACTTTATTTCCATCATCAGCTTTGCACAGCCTCGTGGTAGAGCCTTTGAAAATAAAGAGCCCCCTAAGACGTATTAGCTTTTCTAGGTAAATTTACAACCTTGAGGAGGTGAATTAAGCAAAAAGGTGCGTTTGGAGCAGCTTGTGCGTTTCAGGATAAGCAGCTTATCCAGAAAAGCGGCCCTGCGGGTCAACCGCGGGGTTCGACCCATGAGCTGCATTTAGTGTAAAAATCCAACCGCGTTTTTCAGATAAGCGGGCAAAACGTGCGAACCAAACTTGTACCGCGGCGTTTTCAAAAATGCCCCCGCACTTATAAGTTGCCCCAAACAGGCCCTAAGTTTCCAAGAACTAGGTTCCAACTGTAAGTAAATTTTAAGATAATGTCCCAAATAATTAAACATTTCTATAAATCTATTAATTTAAGGAGCTATAAGGATCATGATTTAACTTAGCTAAGCATACTCTGATCAACAAATTTGATGGCTGAGAGCTAATGTTATTCAGGCAATTGATTTTAGCTAAACAGTTTTCTACCTCTCAGAGAAAACTACATCTATTTCCTTGGTATTTGATAAGACACGAAAAAATCCTGGGACCGCCTCAGTACAAACTCTAACAACCATACACTAGAAACTCGGCTGGACCTGTTCAGCCATTAAGTCAGCTAAAAAGCAATAATTGTCCCAAAAGAAAATTTTGATTTTCATATTTGGTCAAGAGTATCACATTTCTCCAATCAAGTCTTTGGACCACGTAAAACTAATGCAAATTTGTCTACAAGAGAATAAATTGGGATTAATTTTGTGTAGTTAAGGACTAAATTGGGATAAATCTTGCATCACAATTTATGCTTGAATCAATTTTATATAATTAAGGGACAAAATTGAAGAAATGTGATACTCAAAGATTTCAAGATTTGGGATGTTCATCAAATTTATGCTTGGATCAATTTTATATAATTAAGGGACAAAATTGAAGAAATGTGATACTTCAAGATTTCAAGCTTTGAGATGTTCATGAAGAAGCTAATTCCATGTGAGATAAAGTAGCAAATACTATAAAACAAGTGACAAAAGATGTGCTTGGAGAATCAAAAGAAAAAGTTTTTATAGAAAAAAAAATTGGTGGAATAATAATGTATATGAAAAAATAAAATACAAGAAATTTTGTTATAAAAATTGGTTTAAATGTAAAAGCTTAGAGAATTAGAAAAAATATAAGGTAGCTCATAGGGAGCCTAAGAGAGCAATTTGGAATGCTAAAAAGTCTGTTTTTAGTGATCTTTATAATAGATTAGATATTAAAGAAAGTGAAAAATATATGTAAAAACTAGCCAAACAAAGGGCAAAAAAATAAAAAATTTCATTCAAGTAAATTGTATTATAAATCAAAAAGTACTTTTCTTAGATGAGACATTCAACATATGTGAGTGAACTATTTTGATGAACTTTTCAATGAAGCTTTTGAAAATATGATCTACCTTAGTGATCTTAATATCATTAATAATAAGAAAACTTTTTTTACCATCGCATTAGTAAAAAAGAAGTTGATGAGGCTTTAAAGAAAATCAAAGGTGGAAAATCAGCAGAACCTTATGATATCTCAATTGAAGTGTGAAAATATTTACAAGATTTGGAAGTTTCTTGACTTACTAAACTCTTTAAAAACTAAAAAAATGTTTAAGGAGTGGAGGAAGAGTATTTTGGTCCAAATTTTTAAGAATAAAGAAGCACAAGAGTGTAAATTATAGAGGAATTAAGTTGATATGTCATACTCTTTAAAAACTAATATTACTTTAAAAACTAAAAAGATACCTGAGAAGTGGAGGAAATGTATTTTGGTCCCCATTTTTAAGAATAAAGGGGATGCACAAGAGTATGCAAATTATAAAGGAATTAAGTTGATGTTTCATACTTTAAAAGTATGTGAGAGGATAATTGAACATAGGCTAAAACGTGATATAAGGATTTCTCATAACCGGTTTGGAATTATGTCGAGCATGTCTACTATGGAAGCTATACATTTATTGAGAGGTTTGATGGAGAAGTATATAGAGAATACGGAGGGATCAATATATGATTTTTATTGAATTAGAAAAAGTCCTTTGGAGATTTCTAGAGAGGAAAGGTGTTGATATAACTTATATTCAAGTCATTAAAGATATGTATAATATAGTTGTAACTTGTGTTCGAACAGAAGGAAGATTGACCATGTATTTTCTTATTTCAGTTGGATTAAATCTACGATCTGCTTTAAGCCCATATCTTTTTGCTTTAATTATGGATGCTCTTATTGGACATTTACTTATTGGACATTTACTCATTTACTGGAGGATGTACCTTGGTGCATGCTTTTTACTGATGATATCCTTCTTGTGGATAAGACTAGAGAAAGAGCTCAGGAAAAACTTAAATTACGAAGGTCTGCTTTGGAGTCTAAAGGTCTTCGTTTTAGTAGATCTAAAGTTGAATACATTGACTGTAATTTTGGTAGTAGTCGATCTAGTGACCGAATTGTAATAATGGTTGATCAAATCACTAAACTGAGTGAACATTTTAGAAGATTGGTTCAATTGTTCAAAGCGACGGTGATCTTGATGGGGATGTTATTAGTAGAATTCAAGTTGGATGGCTGAAGTGGAGAAATGCATTGGGCCTATTATGTGATAGAAAAGTACCGCTTAGACATAAAGAAAAGTTTTATAAGATGGTGGTTAGACCTGCAATGCCTTATGGTGCAAAATGCTGGCTTATAAAAGAGAAGCATAAAAGAGAAGCATAAAACTAAGTTGAAACTAAGTTGAGTGTTGTTGAAATGAGAATGCTTAGGTGGATGAGTGGCTTGACGCTTAGAGATAAAATGTGAAACGATTGTATCCGTAAAAGGGTTGGTGTAGCTCCAATAACAAACAAGATTAGAGAGAGTCGACTTAGATGGTTCGGCCACATTAAACGCCAAATGTCTGATAATCTAGTTAAGAGAGTAGATGTTTTAGATTCGACTTATGTTAAGAAAGGCAGAGATAGATCTAAAAAGACTGGGGCATATCGTATAAAAAATGATCTTAATCTATTAAAATTAAATGAAAATATGACGCTCAATAGGACGCAATGAATAAAAGGATTCACGCAGCCAACCCCACTTAGTGGAATAAAGGCTTGTTGTTGTTGTTGTTGTTGTTGTTGTTGTTGTTGTTGTTGTTGCGTACGAAAAGTCGAGACTGTTTTGAGATTAAGTCTTATCAATAATCGATAGAGCCTCACAGCAGTCTAAAGTCAGGCAGAAACCTTCTTTTAAACAAATATATACATGTGTTATAAAAGGCTTTAAAGAATTAAATATAAAGCCAAACACACTTTATTAGCTAAAGTCCACTGTCTGCAAATGAAAGACATAAAGGTAGAATTAGAGTAGCTAGTATTATCAAACCTGAACTAACCTGCCCAATTTTATATTCAGATTGACATGTTCACAATAACCAAGAGTAACACTCGTACATAATAGAGCTTCACAAGTTCATATAGTTAAAAGGCATGGTTATTTTATGATTTATCTATTGCTGTAATTTCAACTAGATGCACTAAAAAAAATGTCCAAAATTAACTTTTGAATAACAACAAGGTTATGCATGGCTAATGATTCAGCTGAAATAATAATAATAATATTAATAACATTAGAGCAAACCATGATAGGAGTCTTCGTCATAGCCCATACTTCAACAGGAGCATCACGAAACAATATGAGAAGATACCTGTAAAAAATCTTTAAAGTCATCTAATAGAAAAGAAAAATAGCATCTAGGGCAAGTTCATTATGATTATCAGTGATAAATTATCTGGTAAAGACAGGACAAGACATGAATCAATGTTGTATTTGGAATATTTAAGCTTTAGTTTGTCAAAAAATAAAATAAGAGTTAACTTTTCTTTAGGATTATTCTTTTTGTTAGTAGTAATCGTTCCCTTCCTATCTTGCTTTAAATTGAGATTATTTTGCACTTATCCATTTCAATGGTAATCGAGCGTTTCTCTAAACATTTATCATGTAACCCAATATTCAATAAAGAGGAATATGAAGATCTGTAATTATTATCTTGAATTGAATAATAAAACAATCCCCTCTTATCCTTCTTAATTCTATCCTCGCACCTCTCCAATAGTTCTATCACCTCACTAAAAACCCTCAAGGTCAAAAGCTTTTCATTGCTTCCTCCCTATGACCGACTTAATACCTCCTTTTTTTCTCCCTTTCACTATCACCCTCTTTATCAATCATCTCACAAATAAGAATCAAATCAAAGAAGAATCAAGCAATCTAAAAACAATTGAGAGATGGAAGGAAATAAGACCATGAAGATCCATTAACATTTGAGAAATTAGCGTTTGTGGCAAGACATTTTTAATAAATTATTATTATAAAATATGTAATTAAAACACATCACACAATATTTTCTATAAAAAAGCATCATATAATAAGGAATAATATCGAGTACATCACATAAATACTTGAGGATCAACAAAAAGAGCAAAGGTTTAATTACAATTATGTTTCAAATTTGCATCTGCTTTGATTATTGAGGGAACAATCGATTTTCAATGTGTTAAACATGTGTTGAGGTGTATAGGAGGCATTTGTGTCTGACAAAAACCCAAAGCTTTATGAGTGGTTTGCAGTTCATAAGAGCCATCTAATTTTAATATCAAACCTAATTTCTGAAGATTTAAATTCGCAAATCCAAGCTTTATCACCTACCCTCTTTACCCATGCGACCACCTCTCCTTCCATCCTTCTGTCAAGAAAACAAAATACCTACATGTCCCAGCAAAACCTAGCATTCTCTCTCTAAATCCTTTCCACTCAAACTCATATATCATTAATCTCTCTCTACACTTCACCCCACTACACACAATACTTAAATGATTCTCCCACAATAGCTTTAAGTGCCCTCACAATACTTCTATGAGTTACCGTTTGAAACTCTAAATATAAGCCTAATGATAACAGCCATAATAATGTGAACTATTCAAATCAATATCAGCATTATAGACATCATCAATAATATTCTACCTATCAACATACCTCGTCTTCATATGATGTGAAATCATTTCATGCATTGAAAGAAATCCCTTATGAAGAATCCTAGCATCCACATGCCATGATCCATATAGACATTAATATTATCCGTAATCATCATAAGATAACGATAAACATAATCACCTCATTAAATCCAAAACCACATCAAATTTAAAACAAGCCAAATTAAACTCTGGAAGTTTGGAAACCGATTCCTAACCCAAAAATGTTAAAAAACCTTTATAAAATCCACTAGTTAAGACACAGGCAACAACTCTACCAGTTCAAAAAGTGCAAATAGAAAAACAGTCTATTAATTATTTATATGGTGGCATTTTAATCTCTTAGTCTATAAACACCAAATTAGTCCTCATACACAATTTAATAAGGGCTGAAATAGTCCTCCCTTCAAAGAGTTGAGGGAATATATCAGCCCATAGGAAAAGAGTCGAGGGACAAAATTGACACATTTATAGACTCGGAAACTAAAATGGCCTACCAGCAAAAACTCGAGCGATCATTTTGACAATTTTATTGTTAAAAAATATGCATAAATTTTATTAGACCTCTTGTAGGTTGGCTGATGTCAAGTGTATGTCTCTATAATTGATGACCTAGACTTTGGAGATGAGCTACTGCTTGGCATTGATTCTAAGTTTGGGCCTAAGATTGCCACTGAACTTGAATTTGAAATCAGGCTCAAGCCCATTGTTAAACCTGAATTTGAGATGCCTATAATTATTGTTGAAATTCACAAGCACCTATGAAGTTATAGGTTGTTTCATAATTCATGTATTGATGATAGCCTCATTATTATTGTAGAAAGGTGGAGAAAATTGTATTCTCTTATTTCTCAATATTGAAAATACAATTCTTCCCCTTATTATATAAGAAATGACTAAGACAAAGTTAATTATGTCTATTACAACTTACCTAAGAAAAAACAAACAAAGAAGGAAATACATTGAACATAATAAAGAAAATAATTAAAAAATATAAAGTTAAATTAGGAAACTCGGAATCCCACATTCCCCCACAAGTTAGGTCATAGATGTTGTAAAGACGAAGCTTAGTTTTCAAATCCGTGAAGCTATCTAGAGGTAGAGATTTAGTAAAGACATCAACGACTTGAAGATGAGTTGGAATGTAGATTAATTAAATAATGTCTCCATTGATCTTTGAGAGAAAAAGTTTATCAATATCAACATGCTTGGTCCTGTCATTATGCATAAAATTCTTTGCAATACTAATGACGGTTTGATTATCACAAAACATCTTTATGGAATTAATCGTGAAATATACCAACTCATTTAGTAACCTTTGAATCCACATTCCTTTAAATTCCTAAAGCAAATGTCTGATACTCAAACTTTGCACTACTTCTAAAGAAAACTATTTGTCTCTTGCTCCTCCATGTGACAAAATTTTCCAATACATAGAAACAATACCCAAAAGTGGAGCTTTTGTTCCATCAGTTCTCCTGCCCACTTAGCATCAGCGTAAACCTCTAACTCCCAGTTGTCTGATTTCATAAACAATAACACTCTGACAGAAGTTTTCTTAAGAAATCTCAATATTATGCAAATCATCTCTATATGTTCTTCATTTGGACTGTTTATATGTGGAATCGTAGTGTCGACAGAGCAAGCGATATCAATTCTAGTGTGGGAAAGGCATAAAAGTTTACTCACCAATCTCTGATATCTACCCTTTTTTTTATTGGTGTCCCCC